GACTTCTTCCTTACTTTTCTCAACTCCATTGTAAAGTGTTTTGAAACACTTTATAATCATTTTTCTGAATTCCTTCTCAGGCATTTCCAAGGCCTGCCCTCCCTTCCAGAATGTCGTCCAGGTCTAACCCTAGGTCTTTTGTCTCAGATATTTTATCTTGTTTCTGGACATGTACTGATACAGTCATCTGCTTTTGCTTCTTGGACATGTTTATCTGTGATCTTAATACTTAGTTGAGTATGTGTTTTGGTATTTTTTATGCATTCTGATTGCTTCCAGGTAGATGTGATCAGGATGTGGTCTTCCCTTTTCACTCTCCTTATTGCTTAACTCAGAGTAACTTTCTTAGGTGTTGTCTGCCTCCCTGGTATATGTCAGTTGGTATTGGTTCTTGCCTGGGTTTTGGTGTTTTATAGAGTGTGATCGTAGCTTGATTACATGACAGCAGTTGCTGTCTCTTCTTGAGTAACATAAGAAGAGAAAGAGTCTCCCAAAGGTAGAAGGGGGAGCATAAAACAGCAAAACAGCAACAGCCAAAAAAAAAACAGAAAAAACCCCACCAAAATAACAACAAAAATGAAACTGGATATTGTAGCTTATAATCACAGAAAAGGGAGAGGAGGGAGAGAAGAGAAAGAAAAAAGGAGAAAAAAAAAAAAAGAAAATCTATAGCCTAATATGAGTATGACTTTAACGTCCTCTTTTAGCTTCTTGCCTTCAAAGCTGTCTGATAGATTTCAAGATGCCAATATACCTCAGGATTTAATTTAATTTTTGGCCTGTTTTGTTTTTAAATTCCCTTTCCCTCTCCAAACCCCTTGTTCTGGCTTTTTCTGTACTTAAAAAAAAACCAACAGTTTAGGGCCGGCTGTTGGGCTGAAAGTATCTGTGCACACACGTGGCAGAAGAACCCACCAGTGGTGTGGGTGGGGGGTGTCCGTTCACTCAGGCACCCCCTCTAGTCACCAGAACGGAGGTGCACATACAGTGGGAGGCCAATGAACAGACAGCAAAAAAAGGAAAATCAGAACCAAGTAAAACCAACAAGTGTATTGTCCCCCTTTGCCCTATGAGTCAGAATCAATTCAATAGCAGTGGATTTGGGGTTTTTTGTTTGTTTTCTGTTTTTGTATCTAAGTCAGTAGGAATCAAAACAAAACAATCACTTCATCTAAAACAGACCACCTCTGACATTTCCAGTGAGTTCCCTTTGCGGTCTAAGAAAGGTCCTATCCATTGTAGGCTAGTTAACAGCATCCTTGACCTCTATTAATCGGACACAAGGAACACCATGGCTTCCCAAGGTGCAAATGACTGGTCTAGAGGTGTCTATTTTTAACAGATCAGACCACAGGATGGGTGGAAGTCACCAGCCACTCCACGGAAGGAAGGAGAGGCTGTGTGCTCCTGCAACGACCACTAGGGGGCAGCTCTATTCTGTCCTATAGCGTTGCTGTGACTGGGAACTGACTCCATGGCAGCCTGTTTGTACTGGCCCACTTTAATGTCGCTTAGAAGGTTCTGAACAGCAGCAGAGAACCCCCTTGGAGCAAAGTATATTCTTCAAGTCCAGTGGCTCCAGGCCAATTATTGTGGCTGCCTGGCATTCTGGGCTCAGAGCTCTGGGATCGACTGTAAAGGGCTTCATGATTGATTGGTGATGTTTGCTGTGTGTAAAGACAGGGGCTCCTCTAGAATTCAGCGGGTCTCTGCATCCCAGTTACCCAGGGGGCTTTTGGCCTGGGGCCCTCCCAGAGATCCTGAGTTCACAGGTCTGAGCCCAGATGTCGGCTGTACATATTGAGAATGCTTCACACAGGATTCAGTACAAAACCCCAAGCAGTGGGCTTTTTGGCCAGTGATGTGCTACAAAATACTACAAGATTCTGATGCCAAATTACCTCTCTCTCATCCCACCCCACACACAGCCAAACGTGGCTCCTCAGATGTCCCCCCAGCAGGAGAAGGTCTGTGGTTGTGTGGTGTGTTAAGTCTCCTTCCGCAGGGATAGGCACACATTTGGGACTTCTGTCCATGTCTTGTGCTATGGGTATGCAGTGTGACAAGTCTTTCAGTCCAGGCCATGGAAGCCACAGGACACCAAACACCTTGACAAGAATCCACTCTTGTTCACTTGGTCCACGTACCAGTGTTTCCCCATTTTGCTTCATTAATCAATGAGCTTTCTCATCAATGAGAAATCCCCATTTTGCTTCTCATCATTTCCTTCGAGACCCACCGAAACCAATGCTATTTTCAGTTAATTAGCTGGGATTCTAAAGCATCACTGGGAACCAGACAATGACTAACGGAAAGGCTTGGACAGAACACGGGGGGTGGGGAGGGCACTCACGGTGAAAAGGTTGGACCTGCGCTTGGATTGCTTGCGGACGGGCGTTGGCGTATTTGCAGTGGGAGGAACTTCAATGCGGAGCTCTTTCTGGCTGGTGCTTGGAGTCGACGGGACTGAGGAAGAATAGTCACTTAAACTCCCACCTCCGTTGCTGGTCTGGAATGAGGAAAAGCAGGGTTTGGTCACTGAGCCACTCTGAGCGTCATCACCCACATGTCCAAAGACCCCCCCGGCAGGTACACCTGGATGGCATGGGGAACACGTCACTGCCTTTGCGTGTTGTGTTTGCCTCTCTTTCTAGAACATTCTGATTGTTTCCTACAGCCCTTCCACGTAAGGAAAGTGAGGATTAAACAATCTGCAGCCAACAACAGCCTAACCAGTAAACAAAGATTGGCCTTTCCTTAAACATGGTGCTCTTTATGAACTAGCTAAGGGGGTTCAACTGACAACTGGAACGGCAAAGATTAGACAGGAACCTTACGGGGTGCTGGAGGAGGAGCAACTCAAAAAGCAGCATGGGTAGAATGGCTGCACAGCTAGAAGATTCCATGTCACTGAATTATCTGTGGAGAAGCGGTTGAATTGGTTTATACTTTACTGTGCATATTCCCAATAACATCAAAAAGTCGGGCATCACTGGGGTTGGAGAAACTCCTGGAACTACCTAAAGGTTGGATGAACCCCTGAATCAATTGCTCAGTTGTCGTTGTTGTTAAGTGCCATCGAGTTGGTACCGACTCATAGCAACCCTAAGTACGACAAAATGAAACACTGCCCGATCCTGGGCCAACCTAACAATTGTTGTCATGCTTGAGCCCATTGATGCTGCTACTTTGCCAATCCATCTCGCTGGGGATTTTCCTTTTTTTCGCTGACCCTCCACCTTACCAAACATTATTTCCTTCTCCAGTGACTGGTCCCTCCTGACAGTATGTCCGAAGTATGACAGATGAAGTTTGGTCATCTTGGCCTCCAAGGAGCACTCTGGCTGCACTTCTTCCAACACAAATGTGTTGGTTCTTTTGGCAGCCCATGGCACTTTCAATATTCTCCTCCAACATTATAACTCAAAGGCATCAATTCTTCTACGGTCTTCCTTATTCACTGTCTAGCTTTCACATGCATATGAGGTTATTGAAAATACCATGGCTTGGGTCAGGTGCACCTTAGTCCTCAAGCTGACATCTTTGCTCTTCAACACTTTAAAAAGCTCTTGTGCAGCAGATTTGTCTAATGCAATACGTCGTTTGATCTCTTGACTGCTGCTTCCGTGAGTGTTGATGATCCAAGAAGAATGAAGTCCTTGACAACTTCAATCTTTTCTCCATTGATAAGAATGTTGTTTATTGGTCCAGTGATGAGGAATTTTGTTTTCTTTACATTGAGATTGGTAATCCATACCAAAGGCTGAGGTCTTTGATCTTCATCAGTAAATATTTTTAGTCCTCTTTACTTTCAGCAAAACGTGATGCCACATTTTTCTTTATATAACCCAGCTTCTCAGATTATTTGCTGAGCATACAGGTTGAATAAGTTTGGTGAACGAATACAATCCTGTTGCACACAGATGATCTTTAAACCTTAAACCAAAAATATGCCCTGAAGTCATCTTCAAACCAAATAAGGACTGAGCAGATCTCGTTGAGAATCATGTTCTCCTAAGATCTCTATGGGAGAAAACTAACAGCGGCAGCTCAGAAGGAGGGATAGGAAACTTAGGGGAGCAGTGAGCTCTTCTTAACTGGGGAGAGACAAGTCGGAGAAGAGCAGTGAGCAGGCTTATAGACATGAAGGACATCATCGGTATTGCTGAATGGCCCATGTGCAAGCTATGGAGATGGCACATGCTCTGTTGAGCGTTAGTATCAACAACAGTAAAAAATAAATCATGTTTCAAAGTCTCCGTCATTTAGAATGTACACTTGCTTTCATTGAAGATGAAGTCGATAATTTAAAGACTTTTTTTTTTGAGAGTAGACATTGATCTATTTTCTCTATCCTCTGACACATGGTAAAAGAGGCTCGGCCACTGGGTTCTTCCGCTGGTTTCAATCTGATGGAGAAAGAGCGTCGGAACGTTCTGAAAACGACATCAGAGATGCAGAGATGGGTGGAGCTCTTCCTGGTTCTAGAGGGTGACTTTACAGGCCTTATAGGATGTGTAGGAAAACTCAGCTCATTTTGCTAAACACACAACTGGCAGAGGCCAATGTTCTCATCACATCCTTCAGCTGAAAGGGGGTGGGGGTAGATAGAATCCTTGTCCGGGACACAGTCAAGCTCACTGTGAACTTAAGGGGCATTGGTTTTAGGCCTTTCCTAGTAACAATTACTTCCTTTGCTTCCAAGTAAATAATTTAGCAACACGTTGTTCCTGAGGGAGATGGTAGTTATAACTGAATGCTTCCACCAAATTTAAGCAGAAAATGAAGATGGACCATTAAGAGTCAACCTATCAGCAGACTGGATCCAGGATCAAAGCTGGACATTTCCTGGGCAGCAAAGCCAAGGATGCTGCCAGGGCACGTTCACACCAGCAGGAGCCATCACCAGAGGAGCAGGAAGAAGGAAAACATTTGAGAAGGCCCTGTGAAAACCCCGTGGCCACAGCACTTTCTGCAGGGCTGCAGTCCTTTATAAACACGCTGCTCGATTTCCCAGGTTAAAAAGGAACACAGAACTCAATCTTAGAACTGACTGCGAGCAAACCTGAGTCAGCGCCCCCTCCAGGGTCCCCAGGGGCTCAGTGACACCCACGGTACCTGGCTAATGTGCACGGCAGACACCTGGGCTGAACAGATGGATGAGTGGCTTGGAGAGTTGGGCAAGGACTTGCAGGGTCCGATGGACAGCTGCTGCTTCTTCCTCGTGGCAACAACCTTCTGGGCAACTAGTGGGCACAAGGAAACAGAATGAAGGTTAAGCCCAACTCAGACCTATTTGCCTCGAGCTGATTCTGATCGCACGGTGATCCTGTGGGTTACCAAGCAGAACTGAGCTCCACCGGGTTTCTTGGCTGCCATCTGATCGCCAGGCCTTGCATCTGCAGAAAAAGTGGGTTTGAACTGACTAACCTTTTAAAAAGCACCGACTAACCTTTTAAAAAGCACTGAGTAACCTTTTAAAAAGCAAAAGTGTCACCCACACAGGATTCCTGGCTAAGTACATGTGTACTCAGAGCTCAGTCTCCCACCCATAGGAAGCTAAATGTGATCGAGGTCATGCCAGCCAGCTCTGGCCAATGGGCGGGAAGCAGGAAAGAGGGCTTGGAGCCTCGGGGGAGCCGCCCTCTGCTTCCTCCTTTCATCTGCTTGTTCCTGCTGCCAGGTGTAACCATCAGTCGCCCTCTTGGACCCAGCTGACATTTGAACCCCAAGGTGACCTTGGCAAGACAAGTCACACACTGGGGCGGGGCACAAAATAGAAGGCGCAGTCCCATCTCCTCATCCTTGCCCGTCCAGCCAAGAAAACCTCCAATGCCAAACAGAAATTCACATCTATCTTACTCCAGTAATTCTAATGAGATGATGTTTTCTTCCCAGTCCCTTGTAGCAAAAATAAACCTAAATAGTGCAAGGCAATTTAACTAATCCCCTCTTTGAAAGTCAAAAAGCTTTTTCTTTTTTGCAAAGTCTACAGAATAACTCTTCACTTGACAAGCTAGTGCATGGAATTAAATTCAAGGACATGTCATTATATCAAAGAACTTAAAAAAAAATTAAATATATTACTACACACTTTGGGAGTTTGTCTTAATCAATACAAATCTAAATCCAACCAGCCATAACTTCCCTTGGCACACAGGCTCTGCTGATAAAGCATAAGGAATTTAATTGGAAAGGGAATCGACGATTAGAAAATTCTTCCTCCACCAACAGGGGTCGTTGCAGAGATGGTGCACAGTTTTATGGGGAATGGTGCACAGGTTTGGGGGGATGCGCTGTAATGAAGGCCAATGATAGCCAAACCTTATCTTTGCCCCAGTAGTTGCCGGTCTCGGGCAAACAATAAAAAACAACGAAACAAAAACCGCTCCATCTGCCCAACACTACAGCAGGACTGTATTTGCAGATAACCTCTTATCCAAAACAGATCCCATCTTAATAAGGAGTCAGTGTGTCCGCAGCTCGTGGCTTTCATGTAAATGAATGATAGCATATATATGATGAAGTGAAAATGCAATATATAAAAAATGGCTCACAGAGATGAAGCAGCAGCTTCATTAGTTACGACCCACCTCCAATCAGCCTGCTACCATCCTGAAAGGATGGTATCAATTAATTTATCTTCCCCTCGCGTATTGATCATAAACTTCATCAGCTAATCACGTTTAAATTACAGAGGAATATCACAGTACTCTGTCATCTCAAAACCATTGGCGTATTGATCCGGGGTCTTTGAAGACGTACATTAGAATATTTAAAAAATCATTATGTGAATCCAAAAATAAAATCTAAGATTGGATCCCGGCAATTGAAAAGCAGTTGTCCTATCTGTGTGCTGAACTTCCAGACCAGACGGAAATTAACTTAAAAGTCACGATTGTTTAAGTGATTTTCAATAGACTTCTTTTTGGGGAGAAGTGGGAAGAGAGAGACAGCAAAAAGGCGTTTTTGATTATCAGCCATGCAGTACTCACAGCTCATTCAGTGGGATGAGCAGGCTGACTTCAATCTTTAAACACATGGAAAACGTGTAAATGACAGAGCTGAGAGCATTTTCTAAAAATCCATTCTTGAAGCTAAGGAGAGAGTCAAGAAATGCTCTGAGACAAATCACATATGTTACGGAAATCCTCATTTTATGGGATCCCAAATGTCACAGAAAGCTGCACCTCCCTGCTTTGAGTTTAGGAAGAGAGAGTCCACCAGCAAAGAGGTGTTTATTTTTGATAAAGGAACTGAGTGTAAACTGCTGCAATTTGATGAACTTGACCTATACTCATGGAGGTAAGTAGTTCAAAATACCAACAGAGAGGGAAGGAGTCTTCACATCAACTATGAATGCTATCCCCTCTGTATACAGGGTTGTTGTTGTTGTTATGTGCCATGGAGTCAGTTCCGACTCATAGCGACCCTATACAGGGTTTCCAAGGCTGTAAATCTTTACGGGAGCAGAAAGCCTCATTTTTCTCCCACGGAACAGCTGGTAGTCTTGAACTGCTGACCTTGCGGTTCGCAGCCCGATTTATAACCACTAAGCTATCAGATATACAGGGTAGACAGGGATAAACAACTTAGACATTGGCTACCTAAAATGAGGAGGTGATAAAGGCATGAAGTGACTGGCTTCTAAGGTTTCAAGAGGGAGTTAGTTTAAGAGGGGGGTGGGGGGTGGGGGGAGAAAGAATCCACACTGAATAGTTTTCATCTTGTCTAGATGGATCTGGTAAAAAGAGATGGGGATAAGATTCTTATGATTCAAAAGTAAGTGTTATCATGACTAATCACAACTGTCATTAACTGTAAAGGTAGAAGTTTTGTAACAAAAACAAGGGAGTGGTTAATCTCACAGTATAGAAACAAAGGACCCTAGGACTATCAAGGGAGAAGAGCACAAGCAGAATGCAGGACCTTATCCAGAGAAGCAGCGACACCAGAGATGGAGGTAGAGATGGGGACACAGAGAGAAGGAGCAGCTGAGGACTCTAGACTCACGGAAAGAGAGGGACTGAGTGCTGGTGGCCAGGAGGCAGGCTTATAGAATGTGCCCTTGGGTGGTTTAAATTATTATATATGCCTGAGTGTTTTTTTGTTCACAGCCTGCCCCCCCCACTCATCCCCCAAAACAGCACAACCCAAAATCAAAAAACCCACAGGGAACGGAAGCAAGTACTATTGCATGATGATGCACGGAGATTGTAATCATTTTAATGAAATGATAGTGTAAAGCTGATGTTCTCCCATGTCAACTATCACTCAGTTCACACACACACACAAAGTGTTCATTTGGTTGGTTGGTTTTGTTTTGTTTTTAAAATAGTAGTTTGAGGGGATGCTTACAAACAGAGTAGTTTCCAGTCAGCAATTTGAATACTTTGTTTTGTGACATTGGTTGCAATCCCCTCAATGTAACAAAGCTCTTCCCATGCCCTGGTCCCCCGCTTCCATTCACACATCTTCCCTGCCTTCTGAACTTTGATTTGGGGCTAATGCTGCCCATTTGGTCCCTCCCATGTGGTTGATGGTACATAAGAGCACGTTCCTCCTGGGTGCGATTGTTTATGTTACACGTCCATCTCTTTTTTGCTGAAAAGTAGCCCCAGGGGCAGGCTCAGTTCCAGGTTTGCAGCGAAGGCAAGGGTCACAGTTTCAGGGTTCTGAGTCTCTGTCAGACCAACACAACTGAAAAGCAAGGCTTTTTACCACAGAGCTTCTTACTGAGTGATGGAGCAGGATGATACACAACAGGCACCACAGTTACGTATTAAACTTCACCTGCCCTCTTACCTGCTGTTCTAACCCAGCAATTCCACTAAGTGGACTCACTTTAAAGCTAATAGTGGGCAATTTTTTGGCTCTTGTTCTTTTATTCACACTTGTCGTACTTCCCAGTGTCTCCATAAAGTTTAAGCCCTTCCTACAACCATGAGTGAATAAGGAAGACCATAGAAGAATTGATGCCTTTGAATTGTGGTGTTGGAG